TATGTCATGCAAGCGGGCGTAACCGCGCGTTGCATTATGAAAAAACGTCCCGACTAAATATAGCGGGACAAATTTTGCTAAATTTCCCCACGAACTTTAGCGCGGAAATTTTCCCGCTACATTTTCTTTTAGCGGGAAAAGTTCCTTGGTAAATTTAGCGGGAAAGTTTTTCGCGAAATCAAGCGGAACAATTTCCCTGTTAAATCTAGCGGAAAAACTTGCCCGCTAAGTTTAATGAGAAAATTTCCATGCTATATTCAGCAGAAAACTTCCCCCGCTACATTTAACGTAAAAATTTCCCCACTAAATTTAGTGAAAAAATATCCCCTCTAAATTTAGCGGAAAAAAATTCCACGCTAAATTTAGAGGAAAATTTTCCCCACTAAATTTAGCGGAAACACTTTTCTCGCTAATTTTAGCGGGAAACTTTCGCCGCCAAATTTAGCGAAAAAACTTTCCTGCTAAATTTAGCGGGAAAGTCTCTCGCTATGTTTAGTGGAAACATTTTCAGGGCAGGAGGGGGAGGGGAAGGAGAGTATGCCCCTCCTCCCATCCGTACCCTCCCCTTCTTTTCTCTTGCTCCCTTTCCATCTAGAAGAAACTTTTCGCTAAATTTAGCAGAGAATTTTCTGTTAAATCTAGCGGAAAACATTTTCCCGCTAGATTTAGCGGAGAAATCCCCGCTAAACCTGCATTTTATGGGAGCAAGAATTTTGAAATACGCGTTTTTCTATGGGTGCAAGCTAAAAAAAGCAAATCAAGCAAAAACGCACAGCGGGTTTCACCGGATTCTGCGTCTTTTTCAAAAGATCAAGATACCACCTGTCAGATCAGACTGACAAACGCACCCAATATGTTACACAATTGATTCTGCTATTTCTGGTTCGGTACAGCTGTTGGAGTGAAGCGAAGCAGCCTGCCGGGAAAACCGTGTATCTAACAAAGAACTCGAGGGAGGTGACCTTTCGCTTGCTCTTCCGATGAGTGAGCAGGTGAGCAAAAATAGTACTTAAAAAAAAAGCCACTGTCTCGCTCTCTATAGCAGGCGTGTGTATTTCACATAATCGAGTATTTGGGCTGCACTAAATGTTAGCTGAACAAAGGCGTGAAAGGCGTGAACAAAGGCGTGAGGTAAATGGAAATAGTTATGTCATATTTTTTCCTACACATTTACGAAGACAGTTACCTGTGTTCCACTCATGAAATAATGTTCTAAAAGAACACCTTGAGGTATCTTACATCTTTTATCACGCGTAACCAAAGCAAGGTGTGTATCATAATCAATTGCCTTTTATACGCGAAGAAAAGAACTCGGAGAAAATGGGCCATACCGATACAACGGAAATTACATTAAACTTTTTGTTGGTGGAAATGCTGTGTTTCTGCCTTTAGGATTCTCTAGTTTTAGTGAATATTTAGGTTTTCTTGGTATTAAGATGCCCCTTTTATAATACCTGGTAGATATGAGTGAATGTCTATCTACCAACGGACGTTACGTCCCATGCAATAACCTTTGAATCGGATTAAAAAAAAAAAACATTAAGGTATACTGTTGGGGATCTCAACCAGATTGATAAAATCATATTGTACAATGGAACCGAATATAACCCGGCAAGGAAAGCAATACACAAATGAGCCAATCAATTTCTTCAAAACGAATCGAATAATCGAAGGACATATCCGATGTTAATCTGGACAGCTGAATTTTCAAACGATACACAAATATCTAATTGTGGACAAGGGCACAGCTGAACTGCTAGCACCGTGACTGCTAGACAGCGATGTCCTCGTCATTTGATTACTTGTAATAAGTAGCGAACAAGTCTGGACTGAGCAATGTTACCTATATACCTATATGTAACGCAGCCGAGGGTCATGCACTACATCAAAAATACACACGCTAACCATAAGTGCGCTTTTTTAAATTTAAGGACGTTATGGTTTTTTTTTGTATCTTAAATGGTTCATGTTTATTCTCCGTGCCATTGTTTTTAATGGTTTGAAGGGTTGCCGTTTTTCCACCCTTATAAGACCTTATCACTGATCTCTATGACAATTGCTGGATCGCGTTTGACCGCTCCGCGAATGCGGCCACTGGCGGCCATCTTTTTGGTAGAGTTATATTACCTCTAGCCAAGGTACAGCTGCTGCAGCCACTATCATCCATCCATGACATACAGCGTTGTGGTAGTTGTGGTGGCAGGCTGCCATCAATAATAGCGCGGGTAATATTTCGTGCTTGATTGAAATTGCTTGAAGAAACATATTCTTGAAACCCTTCGTGAACGGTAGCCCGATCTTTGAGAACCCGGTGAAAGTTTCACTAAATCGCAGCACCGGGGAAAAGCAGCACAGCACGCATCGAAAGAAGCATCGAAAGCAGACGCCGGTACGGAGTCTGCTTTCGATGCGAGCTGCGCTTCTTTCCCCCGGTGCTGCGCGTCCGTAAAACTTTCGCCGGGTCCTCAAAGATGAGGCTACCGTTCGCGCCAGGTTTGAAGAATCGTCTTCGTCGAAAAACTTCAATCAAGCACGAAATATCACCTACGGTACAGTGTACTAGATTCACGGCTATTTTTTTTTTTTACTTTATGGCAGGCTGCCGCCATTGCGCTGTCCGTCATATTACTATGACGGCTAGAGATAATATAACTCTACCAAAAAGATGGCCGACCGTGGCCGCATTCCCGTCCTTAGGCGGAGCGGGTCAAACGCGATCCAGCAAATAGACATAGAGATCAGTGGAGTTTATAGGGAACAATAATGAGGGAAAAAATGCTAATATGAGAACATATAAAGTTCAAAGAAATCCCACACCAAGGGAACTTAAAATAGTAAGCGCCCAGGAACAAGACCCAAAAGAAACTATTTTTTTTTCTTAACTACGACCAATTTTAGATGGGGCTTGTAGTGTTTAGGATCCGGACACCAAAATTGTTAACTTGAAATTAATTTTCTAATTCATTTTAATGTCTGCGATAGTCCTTTGCCAATACCAAGATATATGGAGAGGAAGCATCCGCAGCATAGACGCACATCTTTACGTCTAATATTTTAGCATAGACGGTAATACCGCTCTTGACAAATCTGAATACATCTTGGCACCCGACTTCATATCTCGCAAAGTAAATAACAATAAACACATTCACCAATTTTCTACTGGACATTATGCGCTGAAGCACTGTACTTTCAACAGACAGTTCACGACTGGAGTATGTTGCCCGATGTATTACCAGCAGAACCGCCTTCGTTTGCTCGCTCAAGGAAAGAATATTCTCGTGAAGTTGGCATTAATATGTTGTTTAGTTATGGCTTCCCCTTTTTGTATTGTACTTTCTATACCACCTTTGCATTATAGGTAGGGCTCCGTGTTTTCGTATAAAATCGAAAAACTCCAAAAAACACCCGCCGGTAAAATTTTTTAAATTTATCCGATAAACTACGAATTGTTATATGCCCATGCCATCCCCCCCCCCCCCCCCCCCCCACCAACAGCAAAAAAAAAAAAAGTATTCTTTTTTGTTTTTACATTTTGAGCCGCGTAGGATCAATGGTCCTGGGAAATTGATATCAAAATTATCTTGCAACCCTCGGACCGTTGTCAAAAGGGGTCTTACCGTAAGACCCCCTTTTGACAACGCTTGTCTCGTCAAGGTTGATTCAGGAAAACAGGTCATCGTACCATTCGTGACACGACAAAAGCCCCTCTTTTGGTTTCCAGTTTGGGCCATGGGATTTGGGATTTAGAGAAAGGAGAGGGTATGTTCCTGGGGTTAACAGGGAAAGCTATGGACCATAGAGATTGTATAAAATTGGAAAGATGCGCAGTTGAAACTTCTCAATCACATCCTTAACCACACCACATCGCGCGGCCGCGGGATAGATTGATGGGATGACTACGAGCTTCCTTGCGGCTACCTCCGGCAGTTTATTGATTTGAAGGTATCGACGTTTATCGAACCACACTTGTGTGGGAGTTTTGTCGTGGGACAAATTAGTATTGCCAATGACACCAGCGCCAAATTCAACTGAAGAAATCTTAATTGATACGAGCGCGTTTTATTTTTTATTTGGCATACGTTTGCATCCGGTTAATATTTATTATTTTTAATAAGAAACACTGCGAAATTAATCTCCGAATTTCGGAGAATTGGGGATTTACGAGAAATAAACTCCGATAAACACCAAATTTCTGCTAAAAAATAAACTCCGAAAAACACCCTCCGAATTTTGCGAAAAATAAACTCCGAAAACACGGAGCCCTAACTATAGGCTATCCTTATATAATGCCTACCAGGCGATGTATCGAGTTTAAGCACGCATATTATACATTTTCGAATAGCCTAAATGCTACGCGCTGCGGACTACCCACAGCTGCGGACTATGCAAGGATTTTGCTTTTCTATATCGGTCCCAATGACGACACGTGACGGAGTTCGCGAGTAAGTTAATAGTGATTTTTCATATACAAGTTTATTTGCGAGCTAAGGATGGATGACTGGTAATGGCTATGGCTTTTGTAACGGGCGGCAGCTTGCGCCACCAAGCCTAACATTTTGTCATCCCTTCTTGTTTAAAATTTGTATGAATTTTGTTCTAACACAACCCCCCCCCCCCCTTCTTAGAGCTTTTCCATTGCTTATTTATAAAGTGAGCATCTGTCAAGGTTTGCTTTGTATGAAAATGTTTTGCGGACTAGGCAGCAGGAACGAAGTTTGCACCGGGTAAGGACTTTATGCACTGTTTGGGGACTATTTTCTTTTCCCGCAGAAATATATGCCCCTGGTGACGTATGCGCCTGGTGCGAGTTTTAGTCCCGAAAATACAATTGACATACGGCAACTAAATGCAGAAATAAATCACGCCAAACGAACAATAGTGAAGAAAGGAGTTGGGAATTATGGTTCTACTCAATGAACGGTTCAGTAACTCCATTGCGAGACGCTACATATTGTCTGGTTCCGAAGACGGAAACAAAGCAATAAACGCAGGTTCCTTACCGGTTGTAGTGTCGGTCGTTCAAATCCTACAAGAATCGCTTCCTACATTCCAACAGACGCGTGGGCGGAGCAGTCCAGATAAATCCCTGCAGTGGCCCGATGAACCGTCTGCGAAGCAGCTTGCGTATCCGCCAGCGGCGCTTGACATCAGCCGCCCGCTCTCTCCACGAAGGAAACCACCGTTAAGCGCGTTGGAAGCAGCGTTCGATTGTTTCAGCGTCGGGAACTCGCAAACGTGACGACAATCCGACTAATCAAGCGGTGGAAATGGATCAACGCGTGCGCGAGAGGTGCGAACGTCACTGCACAAACAACATGGCGTCGCCCGCCGGTTGTCGTCGTCTGCAAGAGCTCGCTGTCGTCTGCTAGTACGGAGCGCACGCCCGTTCGCGCAGGCTGCTCGTCCTTTCTCTCTCTCACCCTCTCTCCTTTCCTTTTCTTTATCTCTTTCTTTCTCTCCAGCTTTCGATTTCACTTTCCCTCGCCCACTTTCTTCGATCGCAACCCAGGTTTGAGCCTTGCCGCCGTAGACGTAGTACAGCCGTCGACCCGCTGGGTTCTTCCCAACTCTGAAGTCGTGCACTTTGTTTTTATTTTTATTTTTCGATGCGTCAGTTCATCCGTCTATCTGTATGTAGTATGTCCATCAATTTTGGAAAACGGGTGCGCCTGGATTGCTTTCTTGCCATTTTGTTTATTTTTCTTTATATCTTGAGGTTGTGGGCAAAAATTTGCGGCGCTGGTGTTGTGAAAAATTGCTCGCCACGGAACACGAATTGCTTTATGGGCCTCTGCTTGCAACCGTGTTTCTTATGGTTCGTTACGTATTGATTATATCTTTTGTCAGGGAAGCTTGTGGTAATATATGGGTAAAGGCGGGCGTTTGCGAAAATCCTGATACATGGCACGCGATCCTCAAATTGATGCTTAAAAAAAAAAAGAAGAAAAAACACATATTTAAAAGAAACTGACTTATAAGAAGAAATTGACTTATAAACGTCGACTTATAGCCTGAACCGCTAATTTGCTTCTTTGCTAAAGTAGTAAAGCCAGCTAGCTCGCGAAGCGCTCTTCGTAAAATTACAAAACATGTCAAACGATACTCAATTTCTCAGTTTATGCCATAGTTCGAAAGCGAAATTTAGAGTGGGCTATATGACTAGATTCAGTTTTGCAAATATTTGATTGAAATACATTTAAAGTAATCGCAGTTCTGTAACCACCTTTCACTTAATAAACTAGAGTTTTCGATGCGTCAGGTTTTCTTTTTTGGTTTAATTCTGAGCGAGCAAGGTTTACTTCTTAGCCGCACTCAGACATCTCATTTTGCCTTAATTGATAAAGTATTATCCTTTACAATTCTTGATTTGTTCTTGGAATTTGGTGAAATATTACAATTAGGTCAGCTATAAAATGTTTATTCTATGAGTACATTACACATAGCACATACATCAGTCACGCTTCAAGCAATACACACCAAACGCTGAAAGTGTTTTCAATATGGTACTAAAGCCAAATACTTTATTCTAAAATACCATCATCCACGTGGCTTAGTTAAAAGAAATAAAGATTTATGTGAATTGTATTATTAATAAATCCGCATTTGGAAGTCAAATTCGGGAAACATGTATTCTTTAACTTGTTTCTGCTGATATTACGAGCTATCTTTATGACGTTCATTGCTAAAGTAATAAACTCTCTATTAGCTATAATTTAAGGCTCGGAGAAGTATGATAACAAAAAAGAAAAACGAAGACTGTTTTATTGGGTTAAATGTCTGGATTTGATTACCTCATAGACCTAGCTCCAAGAATAGAAGGTCAATAACGCATTAGCTTTCTTGGGTCGTAGTAATTCAGGGCTCTTTGTTGAATGGCGAAGGCGCGGAGAAGGAGAAATGGTTATTGACACTACTTTTCATTCCAGCTTTTTCTAGCACCCTCCATCGAGGTCGTCTTTTTGCTCCATGAACCTTAAAAATTGATCTCAGGATAAAACTGACAAAAAACTGCATCAACAAAGTAAGAGTTCTGCACTAAGATTGGTCATATTACGTTTCTAGACAAGCAAAGCAGTAAGACATTTATTGTGAAATTTCCAGATATTGTGCTCCAAAGTACGTGCTCGAAAACTGAGTGGAGAAAACATTTTCGACTGTGAAGAGTAAAAAAAAAAAAAGTTTTATACTAATCAGGACATATTAATTTCAGAATACACAATTAACGCAGTTCAGAATGTACACTAGGTCGTAATAAACACAGAGTGAGTTGTGATCAGGTGGTTCTATATCACCTTAGTTTAGAAAATTAACTATATTTCATGGGTAGAAATTCATGGTTTATTTAACAAAATTGATTGAACTGGATGATATGTACGCGCTTTTGAGACAACGTCTATTTCTTTGGTAAGATGTGGTGGACGTGCGAATGGTCTTAAGATAAGCTCGAATAAAAAAAGCATTTGCGGATTCTGCGTTTAATATAGCATTAAACGTTATTATTTCGAGGTTTACGCTCGTTTTTTTATGTGATCGATGGCGTCTTATTATATCGGCATCCTCAGTGTATGATACCATTTGTGGGAGAGCCGATTTCTTGAACAGGGTATCGCAATTTTCGCCTTTTTTATTTTCTACTTTTCCAGACACCCAGAAAGTTAGTATAAAGCAGCAATTTGCTTGTCACAAGTCAAGAAAAATAAATCAATAATGATATACGCCTTGAGACAAGGAAAAATAACCTAGCCTAATATAACCTAATCATACTGTTCTGTATGCTTTCTCTTGAAAATAACTCACGTACATAAAAAGTCCAAATTCTATTTAAATAAAACAAAGTGAAAGTTTCACATGAAATGCCCCTGAAGCATCGCTTTGAAGTGTACGCAAGGGCGCAGTACTTCAAGTCTCCTCTCAGATAGCTCTCAGAGAAGCTCTCGTCAATCGAGAGACTTCGTTAGTTGGATTTAAATATTGCAAAATGTTGTATCAAATATACTATATTATGCTGATTCGATTCTTAGAATCGACATTGCGAGTTAACCGAAATGAAATCTCCTTGCAGTAGAAATGAAATGTATAGAAAAAGTAATATTTAGTAGTGAAACTGCCCCAGAGGGTATTGTTTGTTAATGTTAGGTATATATTTATTTTTTAATCTCGCAAAAAAAAAAAAAAAAGATTGAGTTTACGTTATAAGATAAGTGACTTTTTCGAGATTAAATTTTGTTCAAATATGATTTTAGGCCAATAATTTTGTTTATCTTCACAATTCTGTTTACACAGCAACGTGTCACAGCGTCAGGCCCTTTCACATTTGCTTTTTATTCCATTACGTAAGAGCGTGGCGGCATCGGCCGTCGTTGTGAGTGACCCTTGATGTAATACCTGAGAGACGCACCCCAAAATATTTTATCCGCAGTTGAAAATAAAAGCGAGTTCTCGCGTTGCGAGAAATTTGTTTTATTTGGACAGCCTTGTGGCTTGCTAAAGATCGACACACTCGGCATAATTATAAAGGCATTGAGACATTGTCGTGTACACTCGTACAACGTGGGCAGTAAAACTTTTCTAATGCAGTAAATATAACATAACTTATATTAGAATGGCTAAGGCTCCTATGTCAATGCAGCGGAGCGAATAACAAAAAACACACTAAGAATTCTAACCGCGGTACATAATAATAATAATAATAGTAACAAAACCATTAAATACAATAATAATAACTATAATAATATTAATATTAAAAATGCATGCATTTTAATTTGATCCTAAAAGTAATATTTTCTTCATGCGGTTTTTATCGTTTAGATGTCATGCAACGAGTCGATTTTGTTTGCATGAAAGAGTAACGTTTTTTTAAACTTGTATTATGCTTTTCTCAAGTCAAACATGGTTGTAGTCTAAAATAAGAAAGTTTTGTGTCTGTCCTTCTGAAAGGAAGTTGACTTATAACGTCCTGGTTTTATATAGTACTCAGAAATGTGATAACGATTAATTATCTAGAAATCACATAATATTGAATGAAAATGATAAGCATATTTTAATATAAAAATGGCATACAATTACATTTAACATAAATATATGACGCATTTAAAGATATTGAAAAAAAAGGTGGGGTTCCAATCCACGCTGTGAAGGTGGTTCGTCAGCGAAGTTGTGGTAGCACCTTCAACGATTGCCCGCTGCACTATACGAAATTCCGCGGCTGGTCGCAGCACGCCGCCGCTGGTCGAATTGCCGTTTTTTGCCCCTTTGCCGCTCCCCGTATTCAGGATGCTCCTCGGGAGTCCTAACTGTGCGTGGCCTACCCATAGCTGTGCTGCAACAACAATCAAATCAGTTGCTATACTCCGGAATTAAAAACAGCGCGGAAAGACGAGGACCAGAAAAAGAAGTGACACGGACGTAGCGCTATACTTCGTTTTGCTTTACGTCGAAGTGCAGCGGATGTTACGAGCCATCGGAAGCCAATCCAAGGCCATGTGAGTGTCACGTTACCTTACTGACGCGCGCAAAAGCGTATCAAAGGCTACATCCACAGACCGGGATTGGCTAGGATAGCTCGTAGCGTCCGCTGCGTCTGGACATAAGGTGAAACGGGGTATACGCGGCTTTTTGTTTGACATATGAAAGACTAGTGACGTCACTCCCCACGTCTCAAGCTGCCTTCGCCGCGGCAGCTTTCTCAGCTGTAATCTTTACCGAGAAACGTATGCGGTCAGCGCAACGTGCTTAGCATTGTTATCAGGAGCGCCTTATAATCAATTATCTGGTTCGAATGCTTGTTTTGTGCTTGTTCTTTATTGAAACGAATGCTGTGTTGTAGTTTGTATTCGTGATGTATGCACTTCTCGCTTCCATCGCTAAAGGTTTCTTTTTGCGTGAGGACGCCGACACGAAAAAATCCGACCAACGAGTCATATAAATCTACGCTATAAATGTAAAATGCCTTAACGTCCGCAAAATACTCATTTAGGAAAACCATAAACGCTAAATGCATACATTAACGCGTATAAAATGTTACGTAAATGTGAGTAAATCGTGAGTCGCAGCCGGGAACGTTAACAATGAATAGAATATATGGCCTGCGTGTGAAAAACATCGTGCTGGCTAGAAAAAACGAGCAGTTAAAAGAAACGGATCACGCAAGCAGGAGTGAATACTCGTCGTGCTCGTGGTTAAGATTAAAAAAAAAAAAAAGATAGTGTTTGTATTCTCAGAATTGAGACGCCATGTCATGCAATATGGCATATATATGTTGATTGCATTTCAATGATAAACGACTTTTTAATGAATTGAATATGAAGCAACATCAATATAAGAAGCAAGTATATATTCTACCACTGAATGTCTCTTATCACGCGAGCGTTCAGAACTCGAGTCTGTTGAACGATGCGTAAACGCTATTTTCTCCGTACAATG